GGGAGGAGGACACTGCATGCCACACAGGGCCACATCGGGGTTGCACTTGGGAATAGAGTGAACAACCAGGGGCCGTGGGAGGTGCCCTTGGTTCCCATGGAAGGATGTGATCGGCTGGTTTGAATAATTCCACAGGCTGGCGGGGAACTGAAACCTGCTCCGCAGGAAGAATCAGGGACTCACCTGCTCCTTTGGATAAAGAGGTTGTCTGGCTGGAGACCTTGTCCATGAGAGCAGAATGCAGACAGGGACTTTTGGCCAGGACACTGGAACCTCTCTTGATTTTACCAGATGTCAAGGCAGCACACAATATTGAGCTTTAATTTTAGGCCTTACATCACAAAGAGGTGTCAATGTTTTCTGAAGTTTAAATTCTGTGGGATATATGTTCCAATTAAGCGATAGCTTGTGTAACCAAGTTGAAATTATATCTTCTATTAATGTTATTGATATCGGGAGTTTATTGATTCATAGACATTAACCAATTTTGATCCAAACAATGAATATTACAATCATGGGTTTCATTTAGTTGTTACATAAAAAAAATAAGTGGCACCTAGTTGTAAACTTGTAAAATTTAAAAATCTTAACAGGCAAAAAAGCCAAACTGATCACTGTGAGCAGCATGGCTGTATGGAGCATGGCCTACACTATTGTACAAGACAAGATCCCACTTCCTCTACGTGTTCGCAAAGAAAATTTTAAAAAATGGATAGACAAGGATGTTAAAAATACTTTAAGCCCCAAAGGATGGCTATATAAGAGCTTTGCAAAAATTACTATGGGATGTTAAAAAGGAATGACTAATTCTGCCTCATGGGAGGGTACCTATTCTTTGAACTTTTAGCTTTATCTCCCCCAAACTGAGTGATACCAGTAACTTTATATTTACTTTCTTTGCGTTTGTGATTAAAGGCCAGTGAAGACCAAGGCTCTTCCTGAGCATCTCTCACTTTTATCATATTGCCTTATGTCTAATTGGACATTGACATCTTCTTAAGTGCAAGAAGAACATATTTCACTTTTGACTCCCAATTCCTAACACACTGACTGTCATTCACTCCATAAACTTTAAAAATTACCTTTTAAAGTGATGAATAAACATTTTTGTGAACAAGTAAATGAATGAACTGTCAACTCCAGATTATTGTGCCATTCCATTATTTTTTAAAAGATGTACCTTAGAAAATTTCATCTTCATTTCAATATTCAGCCACCTATATTTTATGACACATATAACACAATGATAACACAATAATACAAGAGAGAAGACAGTGAGACAGCTTAAGTCTAAAACCTATGCTATAAATCTCAATGTTTTCTAACTCAGTCCATGGAATTTCAATGAGGAAGGCCAGAGTGGGTTGGCTCAGTTATAATCTGAATACATTCTTTTCAGTTGAGATATAAGTTTATATAGACACATAACGTCTTCTCTTTGTGAAATAATGTATATCAGTGGGTATCTGGAGAGTTCCCATGAAATGAGTACAAAGGCAATTAAATATGTCTAGAAGTGTTTCCTCCTTTCTTCTCATTGTTTTTTACTGCAAATCTGATTCTTACACTTGGGTCTTCTCATCATCTTAATACACTTGAACCATTGCCATTAAATAGTATGTACAACTAAATAAAAGTTATTAGTTTGATTTTCTATATGTCTTAGTTTCTTTTGGGCTGTCACTGCATTTACATAATTTTCCAATTTTATTTTGGTTTTTATTTATATAATGCAAAAGTAATTCATGCACATATAGACAAAAATCAAAATATGGTAAAATGTATAAAGCAAACATATCTACTGATCGGGTTCTTTTTTACCATCCCCATTGGCAACTAATGCTAATACTTTTATTCTTCAGCTTATATATTTTCATCACTTATTTCACAATAATGAATCCTCATTTTAAAATAGTGAATAGTTTCGTATCTTAACAAAATTAGGGTTTTATGAATGAATTTTCCTTTTATTTCACTGTTAAAACAAGCCTACTTATAAAAGAAGTAGGCTACTTCTCTTTCTTAGGAAAGAACTATGGGGTTTGTTTTCTTTGTCACATCATATAGTATATGGAAGTATAGTTTAAGGATAAATGTCTTTAGAAAAAATAATCCATTATTACTACCCCTCGATGTCTTGGCGTTAAGGTGATATTCTTTTGTTTAAGATATTTTACCTAATGCATAATATCTGCTTCAGTTTTTAGTGTGTGACGTGGTGTATTTGTAAGAGTTCAGATTGTTCAGCTTGTATGTAGTTATGAAATAAGTAAGCAATATAGTTCAACAGTAAAGAATATTACTGAGAGAAAAGTGTTTACAAATTAAGGCTGAATAATGTTTTGGCCAAATGCTTTCTGTCATGGATTGAATTGTGTCGTTCCAGGAAGACATGTCCAAGCCCTAACAGCAGAGCCTCAGATTGCGATCTTATTTGGAAATAGGGTCATTGCAGGTGTAATTACTTGAGTTAAGATGAGTTCATACTGGAATAGAAGGGGTTTCTAGTCCAATATGACTGGTGTCCTTATAGGAAGATGGCCATGTGAAGACACAGAGACATGGGAGAATACCAGCTGACCGTGGAGGCAGAGATTGGAGTTATGAAGCTACAAGCCAAGGAAGATCAAGGATTGCCAGTGGCACCAGAAGTTCAGAGAAAGACATGAACCAGATTCTTCCCTACAGCTTTGCAGTGAGCACGGCCCTATGGACCCTTTGATTTCAGACTTGTAGCCTCCAGAACTGTGAGAGAGTAAATTTCTGTTTTAAACTATCCAGATTATGGTACTTTGAAAGAGCAGCAGAAACTAATACAGATTCTAGTATTGGGAAGTGGGGTGCTGTTGTAATAAATACTTCAAAATGTGTAAATGGTTTTGCAATTGGGTGATTGAAAGAAGCTGGAAGTTTTTTTAAAACACATGTTAAGTGTTTAATAAAGATTACCTATTGTTATGCTTTATCCAATCTTCTAATAAATACTGTTAATACAAATAATATTTGAATTAACACTTGGAAAAAATGGCATATTTGGAGGACAGATTTAATGTATGTATGCATTTATTTGTTTTTATTTTTGTATTTTTTGAGGTAAAATTGGTGTATAACATTATATAAATTTCAGGTGTATGACATTATAATTCAATATTTGAATACCTACAAAGCGGTCACCACCGTAAGTCTAGTTACCATCCATCACCATGCAATTGATCCCCTTCACCTATTTCACCTTCCACCCCAATCTTCTTCCCCTCTGACTCTCTGTGTCTATGAGTTTGTTTTTGTTTTGTTTGATTTGTTTACTTGTTTTGTTTTTTAGATTCCACAAATAAGTGAAACCACATGGTATTTGTCTTTCTCCTTCCGACTTATTTTACTTGGCATAATACCCTCCAGGTCATCCATGCTGTGGCAAATGGCAAGATTTCTTTCTTTTTTATGGCTGAGTAGTATTCCACATCTTCTTTATCCACTCACCCTTCAATGGACACTTAGATTGTTTCCGTATCTTGGCTACTGCAAATAACACGCCAATGAACACAGGAGTCCATATATATTTTTGAATTAGTGTTTTTGTATTTTTCAGATAAATACCCAGAAGTGGAATAGCTGGATCATATGGTAGTTATATTCTTAATTTTTTGAGAAATCTCCGTATTGTTTTCTAGAGTGGCTGCACCAATTTACACTCCCACCAAAGTGTATGAGGGCTCCCTGTTCTCCACATCCTTGCCAACACTCACTATTTCTTGTCGCTTTGATAAAAGTCATTTTAATAGGTATGAGGTTATATCTCATCGTGGTTTTGATTTGCATTTGCCTGATAATTAGTGATGTTGAACATCTTTTCATATGCTGGCTGGCCATCTGTCTGTCTTCTTTGAAAAAATGTATGTTCAGATCTTCTGCTCCTTTTTTAATCAGGTTGTTTTTGTTGTTGAGTGTGTGAGTTCTTTATGTATTTTGGATATTAACCCCTTATTGGATATATGATTTGCAAATATCTTCTCTCATTCAATAGGTGGCCTTTTGTTTTTTTGATTGTTTCCTTCACTATGCAGAAGCTTTTTAGTTTGAGATAGTCTCACTTGTTTATTTTTGCCTCTGGTGCCCTTGCCTTTGGAATTAGATCCAAAAAACAGTACTAAGACCAATGTCAAGAAGCTGGCCTCCTATGTTTTCTCCTAGGAATTTTATGGTTTCAGGTCTTACATTCACGTCTTTAATCTATGTTGAGTTAATTTTTGTGTATTGTATAAGATGGTAGTCTAGTTTCATTCTCTACATGTGGCGGTCCAATTTTCCCAACACCATTTATTGAAGAGATTGTCCTTTCTCCATTGTATGTTCTTGACTCCTTTGTTGTAAGTGAATTGTCTATATATGTATGGTTTATTTCTGGGCTATCTACTCTGTTTCATTGATCTGTGTGTTTGCTTTTTATGCCAATATCATACTGTTTTGATTACTATAGCTTTGTGGTATAGTTTGAAATGAGAGAACATGATACCTCCAGCTTTGTGCTTCTTTCTCAAGATTGCTTTGGTTATTCAGGATCTTTTCTGGTTCTGTACAAATTTTAGAATTATTTGTTCTAGTTCTGTGAAAAATGCTGTTGGAATTTTGATAAGGATTGTATTGAATCCTTGGATTGCTTTGGATAGTTTGTACATCTTAATATTAATTCTGAAGCTGGAAGAATTTTGAGTGCATGATAGAAAAAGCCTAGATTAAATTGAAGGGACTATTGGTAGAAACAGGGTCATTATATGTGATATTAGTGAGAGATACCATGGAAATTAGAAGCATGCTATTGGAAACTGGAGGAATCCTTGTTATAAAGTGGCAGAGAACTTGGCTGAATTGTGTTCTGGTGGAAAGCAGAACTTGTAAGCTGTAGGCAGGAAACTACAGGACAGGGTCACCTAGAGTTGACACAACTCAGAGACTGATAGCAGATGATGAACACACTCAGAAGTGCAAAACCCCTTCTCCTTATTTGTAGTAATTCTATCTAGGATGATCTCTTAGGAAACAGAAGTGACTTCTTCCTGTCCAGTTGGGTTTGCTCAACAAAGAAAATTAGGGGAGCCTAAATTAAAAATCATAGGCACATCATATAAGTAAAACAGTCCATCTCTGTGGCAGCAGCAAAGAAGAGTCTGGACATTTTATCTTTTTTCTTTCTCTCACGAATCCAGAGAAATCTCAAATAGCTGTGGAATAGAAGGGGTGTTGGAAAGAAATATTTCAATGATAAGGTATAATAAAAAATAAAAGTTTTGCAATAACGCATACACAAATGTGAGAAATGGGTAAAGGAGGAAATGAAAAATGACTACCTGGTAAGAGGCAAAGAAAACTCATGATAAAATTATTGCTATGGAGCAAAGTAAAAATTGTGGCCAAATATTTCAGCATGAATTATAAACAAAAATACAGGTAAAATAATACAATATATAAAATATTGGAGTTCCCAGAAGAGAAAAACAGAATAATGGAAGAGAACAAACATTTAAAGATATTGGTACTTCAGGACTCAACTAAATTTTACCTCCTTAAGAATATCATTCATAGTCTTTCCTTGCTCCCAGTTTTTTTAAGATGCTTTCTCATTTTATTCGTATTTCTTTATGCAAATGTGTAATTGCTTGATTACCTATATGTCTCGTTCATGAGGCTGTGAAATTCTTCAGGGCAGGGGACTGGGTTTTTTTCCTGTTTGTTTATTTTATGTCGTTATTGTTTATATTTTTTCACTCCTAGTACTCAGACCACATGTAAGAATTTGGTAAAACATCTGCTAAATAAATAATACGTTGGAGATATGAATAAATTAAACTAAAAATTTCAGAACAGTGATAGCTAGCTTAATATCCTAGAGTAATTGGGAGTGTCTGAAATAATGTATGCAAAAGAAAATAACAAATGTCAGTGCTGTAAAGTGGATGATTTATTACTCTTCTCCACTTCTGAGTTTGGGTTATCTCCATAGACATAAGGGTTACCCTGCTACCTTGACAGGTTAGAAAAAACACTCCACTAGTGTTTACACAAAAATCCTAAAACTACATCTAAATGGTAGTAGTCAGTATATTATGGTCTTGTTTACTGAAGTTGATGGAACTTGTAAATCTTATAGGTCAAATCAGCAGTGTGGCAAATCACTAGCCCTGGCTGGTCCAGAAGATTAGTATTATAAGTTCACCAAAATGTAAACCAGCCACACAACACTAGTTATTTTTGCATAAAAAAGGAAAACAAAATCATGAATCAGCTGGCAGACCTGTAATTTGTGCCCAGTCCTGAAAGATTCTTTAGATTTCTTTTTAAAAAGTGGTTTTATGCTGCTGACTCAGTTTGACTAACTCAAAAACAATTAGAGAAAAATAAAATAACTAGATAAAAGCTAAAAATGTAGAAGTGGATTTTCAAAATGAGGTAGCTGACATATCTTGGGGGATCTCAAAATCAAATATTAAAGGTAAGTTGGAACTCCTAACAAACAAGCAGAGTTTATCATAAAAGGTCATTGCTAACACTTTACTTTTAATTTTCACCACAATAAATGAGATATGGTAGAAAAGATGTTTTATTACTCTTTAAAATATGTGTCCATCTGTCATATTCCTGAAATAATGGGTTCATATCATTTTAACATGCCTTTCTGTGGCTTTCTTCAAGCAATAACCTCTATGTTTTAGAATAATAGCCAGCATTGGAGTTTTGATTGGAATTTTCGTGTTCTCCTCATTTTTGTTGCCCTATCATATAATGGGAGATTTTCCAGGATATTGGACAGAATGAGTCATCAGCACACAAACACATGGCAAGAGGCAAGATGCAAATAGTATTTTTTCTTTTTTTTCTCGCTGAGGAAGACTCGCCCTGAGCTAGCATCTGTTGCCAATCTTTCTCTTTTTTGCTTGAGGAAGATTAGCCCTGATCTAATATCTGTGCCAATCCTCCTCTATTTTGTATGTGGGTTGCTGCCACAGCATGCTGATGAGTGGTGTGAGTGATGTAGCTCCACACCTGGGATCCAAACTCATGATCCCAGGCCACCGAAATAGAGTCTGCTGAACTTAACCACTACACCACGGGTCCAGCCCCAAGAGGCAAAATATTTCTTACCTTATTATAAGAGAAAGCTGAATCAGTTTATCAATGGCCACTTATTGAAAGGCAGGAGTATACAGAATACGAAGCTTGTGTTAGATGTGCACACCATGCATCAGATGACCCTGCATAAGAACATCAATTTAACCATTTGAAGTCAATAACCTAGTCTCTAAGAAGTCAATAATCAGTGCCACATCACCTACAAATATGTTACTAAGTGGCTCAGAAAATCTTTTTTTTCTTACTTTTTTCTCCCCAAATCCCCCCAGTACATAGTTGTATAATTTAGTTGTGGGTCCTTCTAGTTGTGGCATGTGGGACACGCCTCAACATGGCCTAATGCGTGGTGTCGTGTCTGCGCCTAGGATCCAAACTCTGGGCCACCGAAGCAGAGCACATGAACTTAACCACTCGGCCATAGGGCCAGCCTCAGAAAATCATTTTTAATGAATGTTATAATATAGCCAAATTATTCTAAACCGAGAGAGAGAGAAGAGACAAAGAGAGAAAATATGTGTGTGTGTGTGCGCGCACGCGTGTATGTGTTTGTATGGGGGGGGGGGTGCCAAAATTTTGAAACCCCTTTACCAGTACTCCTACCCCAAACAGAAAGTATTACCCAATGTCAGCATTTTAATTTCTTTGGCAGAGGCCATGCATTATTATATCTCCTTATTATGTCTAATAGATGCCAGAACGTAAAACATCGGATAGCTGTTCAAAAGTGACCTACCACAGAATGCAAAGATTTTAACCCAGTAGGTAAATAGAGGAGTGGGCAGACCATTGGTGAGTACTCCAGAAGCTTGCGATTCAAACAGGGGTAAATGGACTAGCAGTGTCTGCATCACATGGGAGTTTATTAGAAAAGCAGAATCTCAGGCCCCATCTCAGTCTTACTGACTCTTAATCTGCATTTTAACAACATCTTCAGGTGATTTGTTTGTATATCGAATACTTTATGAAGCCATGCTGCGATGAATGGACTCATTTAATCCATTGCCAATGAGTTACCCAGGTGTTTCAGATAAGCAATGATGTCCTTAAGGTGAAGTACAGTTGGTTAGAGAAGTGCATATGGAATAAATAAATAAAAAGAGAAGAAAGTTCAGCTGTTCGGTGGGTTCTTCTCTTCATTTGGCTGCATTAGGCTTATCTCTAGATGAGTCAGACAAGGAGAATGAGAATCAGGAAGCTTCTCAGTCTACTTAGATAGCCTTAGAATGACTATTGATTAGGTTATCAATACCTTAGTTATTGGAATAAAATACGTGAAAATTGTGTGTTATTTGATTTACCTGACATAGCGTATACAGTCCATCATTTTTAAACAATGAATGTACATCACAATCACCTACAGAGCTTTTAAAAAATACTTACATCCTAAGTCCAAACCTAGACATTTTAACTCAAGAGATCTGGCATGAGACCAAGGTTTGTACATTTTCACATGTACAGAGGTTTGAATAGAGACCAAGGCCCTATTGAATCAATTGTATTAGTTCTATTCACTGGTATTCCAGTAAAGTTACCAAATCAGCAAGAAGTCACTTGCTGTTTAAAGTTCTGACACTCCCACAATCTCTCAAATAGGATATTTTTCTGTCTTAAATTGTCTGTACTGAAATGAGTGTGCTCCTATATGTTAACATCCTTTCCCTAATCTTCGTTTGCTGTTCTGGAAAAGTCTTCTTAATAATACAAAGCGAAGAAGAAGGAAGACGAAGAAGAAGAGGGAGAGAAAGGGGAAGTGGAAGTGGGGACGAGGAGGAGAAGGACAGAGAGGAAGAGGAGGAAGCTGTCGGTGTCGGAATCCAATGTACACGTCAGGATAGATGCGGAGAGGGCTGATGGCCACTCTGAGTTTACTATAACCAGCGTTTCAATATATACATAGCTTACGTCTGTTAAACATACACAGGTGTTCTGGATGAAGTAATTAGCGAATGCCAAGAATTCTTAGTGATTTCTCAAGGAGCCCTCCCTTGGCCTCTGTTTTGATATTATCATGTTGTTGCTGTGCTCTATATTTTTATCTCGGAGCAGGCAAGGTCTCTTAGGCAACGGTCCCTCTTGCTCCCGATACCGATATCGTTTCTCCATCTGTGCCCCCTGGCGGCCGCCGCCTGGCTTAGGTTGCCCCCCCAGGGGGTCTTACCCGTCATTGGCTAACCGGCCTTCTCACCTCTGGGTCACAGTTTGTTGGCAAGCTTTTTCCAGTGATTATTAACCCTTCCTGTGTCAGGGGCGGCTACAGAAGCAAGAAAAGAAAGTGGAAGGAAGGAAGGAAGACAGAAAAGGGAAAAAGATGGAAGCAAGAGAAAGAATACAGAGAAAAAAGAAAAACTAGATGAAGAAAAAATTAGACAGCGAGGAGAGATAACGAAAAGAAGAAAAAAGAGGAAAAAGAACAGAGTGAACAATACAGCAGAGAAAAGGAAGAAAGAAGAGGAAGAAAAGGAAAGAAGGGAAAGAAAAAGAAAACTGCACTTCTATTCAATGATTTGCTAATTAATTTCTTATGCCACAGTTAACACCCAAGAGGAAAATCTTGTCTACCACCCACCTGAGATCTGCAGCTATTAGTCTGCCAAGTAGAAATGACAAATTCTTTCCCTCTGGTTTTTTTGTATTATTCTTTTTGGAGAGTTTAGTGATGTTGGAAATGTTACATTTGTGAACTGACAGTCCAAAATGTAAAGTAAGAAGTTTTAGCTGATGAAATCATATATGTCCCAGCTGAAATGTGCTGAAGGAGAGCATTTCACAAGAATGAGGTTTTTAGGCACAATCTACCCAAGTGGACACTGGAGATTTTGCCAGAAATCTGGAGATTTCTCAGCTTTACTGCACTTTGTGATTTTATGTTAGCTTCTCCATGCTGGTGATGACCAACAAATGTAGAAATAGAGCAACATAATGACTACTAATATGAAGAATGATCAACTAGACTCCTCAAATTACCAATACTCTTGGTTGAATATTTAACAATTGATGTTACCACACATGCATGCACACAATAGTACATGGGTAAGTGTGCGTGTGCACACACACACATATCTGTCAATGTATGCTAAATGGCATGTCCTACATCCACAGCCAAGCCTGGCGAATGAAAATCAAAATTTACATAGCCCTTCTAGAACCATGATGTGATTCCCAGCCAGTAAAGAATGACTGCCATCCTTCTCGATTTCCATTTGCTGAGGTACAGCAGTGGTCTGAAATTTTTAGGACAGATTTCATTCATTTATATTTTTTAATAATAGCTCAACTATGTGGTTTATGAAGTCAGACTTATGTTTAAGGTGACAAGGCAGTTTCTTTCATATGAGGATGTAACGGATGCTGACTATAGCCTTGCTTCTCCCCTAGCAGACAATAGCAACAACAACAATGACTCAGTGACATTCCCTGCTCTGGCAATTCATAATGCCTACAAGTTCTTAAACTCAGTTATTGAGTTGTTTTTCGTTCTTACATTAGAATAGCTTCTCATTCTTTCTTACATTGTAACAATCATTAACTTGAGAAAAATGACTACATAAGATTAAATTATGAATTAGAAATCATAAATGCCCTCCAATACCCAGACGTAACCACTAGTGTTTTATTTTTTACATAAATGCATGTAATTATAGATAATTATACAACATATAATTTATATATGTATTTATGTATATAAATGACTTTGCAGCTTTCTGAAAACATATATTAATCAGCATATCATCTTAATATAGATTACTAAATTATTTTGAATCAATAAATACTGACCATATACCTACTATATGTGAGGCATTGTACTAGGCACTTGGGAATGATAAATAAAGGGTGAAAATCTCTGCTCTCAGATTTACACAGTTGAGAAAGAGAGATCAGCAATGAAAAGGGAATTTTTATAAAGAATATTAAGTGCTGTGAAAATGAAAGCACAGGATATTGCAGTGTTAAAAAGTGAGACACTGGGTCTATATCGGAAGGTATGGGGAAGGCTCCATGGGTGAGGATAAGGCCTACCCTGGATCTAAAACGTACCTAAGAGAAAAGGCTCAGGAAGAGAATTTTTCGGGGTACCCTCAGCAGATGAAAGAGTACGTGAAGAAGTCTAAGACTTATAAAAGAATATGATGTGCAAGGATAATAGTAAATTGTTCCACACTCTTTTTGAAACTTTGACTCTTCAAAGCACATATACTCCTAAAAGGGTCAGCATTTGCGGTAAGTTTCTGTCAGAAGCAGACCCTGAGATGTAGGTTCATGTGCAAGGAAGAACTCCCAGAATGTGGTAAATCTTCCCGTCCAGGAAAGAGGGAACATGTTAAGAAGACCCTGTAAAGGTGGCTTCAGCTTTATCTAGAACATAAGTTACAGCTCAGAGCGTGACCTCAGTGTATGTAAGGTTCTTTTGTTTCCATCCTCCTGTACCAGTCAGTACTTGTCTAAGGACAATCTTGGGATCCTTAAAATCCCAGGCATTCCAGGCTCTGCCAGGTGGGCAAAGTGGTTCCAGTTGCCCAGGGCAGTCTTCCAGAGAAAGTCTCAGACAGAAGCTGGTAAGGCAAAGGCCTAGAGAAGCTGTGAAGAAGCACATAGAAACAAATAAAAAGATTTAAGAGAATCCACAAAGAACACTGACATGGTTCCTTACAGGTGGACACAAACTAAGCTTTTCAAATGGCATTACATCACGGCTAATGGGGAAGCCAGCTTACACTGAAGATTTTTTTCAAACATCTTTATTGAGGTATAACTTACATCCCATAAAATTTACCCATTTTAAATGCACAATACAACGATTTTTTTAGTAAATTTACTAAGTTGCACAACCTTCGCCATAATCCCATTTTAGAACGTTTCCATCATTTCAGTAAAATCCCTCATGCCAATTTATAGTTAATCTCCCTTGCCACCCTCAGCCCTAGGTAACCACTAATCTATTCTTTTTCTCTACAGATTTGCCTTTTCTGGATATTTTATATAAATAGAATTATAAAATATGTGGTCTTTGGGCCTTGTGTTTTTTCTACATTATACTTAACACAATGTGTTCAACTAATTTTATTGAGCACCCACTTTATGCCAGCCACTATAAATTAGGCTACCAAATTAGGTGACCAAAATAAGGCATCTAGATTTTATGGTCTAGTAAGGAAAATGTACAGTAAGCAAATAATCACATAGGAAATGTAAAATTTCAAATCAGTTTCAGGATGCTCTGGAAACATGAATGGGAGTTGAGAGAAGACTTCCCTGAGGAGGTAACATTTGACTTAGACTGAAGAATAGGAGTTAATTAGGCAAAGAGTAAAGCAGTTCACATAGAGGGAATAGGACTTACCCACTAGCAAAAGAGAACATGTTTAATAGAAGTGATTGAGAAAATGTTGGTTGGAGTTTTGAGAGGGAAAGAGACATAGTGAGAGATAAGGCTGAAGAGAAAGGCAGAGGCCAAATTATGATGAGACTTACTAAACTATGTTAAAGATTTTGGTTTATTTTAAGACCAATGGAAAGATCGTGAAGTGTTTTCCGTTAGGTTGTGGTGGGGAGGTGGGTGATATGACAGGTTTTTTTTAGAAAGACTCTCTAGGTGCAGGGAACATTTTTTTTTAATGCTCTTAAAATACATTCTCTAAGCAGAGGCAGGAGCACATCTTATTTTGCATGCTTCAGATGTCTACTTCATAACGCAAAAGGTTATTTTAAATGTTAGTGCATTTAACAATTAAATGATAATCCACTCACGGATATTTCTGGACAATGTATAGTCCGCTCTAGCTTTCTCATCCTGATTCCATCATGGGTTAGGCACATATCATGTGCATCTGGGAATTGTTCAACGACCATCTGTTCTGATTGAGTGGTGAGCCTTGATCTCATTTCTCACCTGGTAAATGTTGAACGTATCCTTTAGTCCACTACATGGTATGAACTATGTGGAGAACTACTTCATATCTTTCTTCAAATATTTGGAATTTTCTATTTTTTAGCCCTAAAAATGGGAACTCAAAACAGCTTTACTCCTCTCAGTAACACAAAATCTATTTACATGGAAAAAATAAAATAGTTAAGGTAATTATCCAGATCATTTGAGCAAAAAGCTCACTTTGTTGTCCTGCATGATTGTGGTATATTGTTTACATGGATCTAATTTACCAGATAATGGCCTACCAACACCATCCAATATCCCTGAATAGATAGACATTGGATGATTTACCTAAGACATGCAGTAAGATGAAAAAAATATTTTACTAAAAATGCAAAACTTATGTTCAATAAATAAAAGAGAATATGTCTAGTGAATATGAACAGGGTTATCATGCTGTCTGGTTTCTAACAATCTTTACAATGAATTTGAGAAAAAATAACATAAATGAAATAGTAATATTGGACCTTAAACGGAGATGTTAAAACTTTGGGGCTTAAAAAATATGCACATGCTTAAACTGTCTCTCTCTCACATACACACACACACACACACACACACACACACACATGCACGCACCAGGTGCTGAGAAGCACAACACAAATGACCATTTGGAAGATGTGGAACTCAGTGCCTTCCTGGAAACATGCAGGAGATATTTCATTCATTAGAACTATTCTAACATTGTAACCAGAATCAACAATAATTGTGTGTACTTTGCTTACATACAATTTAGAGCATTCTGGATAAAGAGATAACCAATAAAACCCCCACCACATATTTTCAGTACATAATTTTCAGTACATATCATTTCTTTTGTTCTCAGAACTCTATGTTGCAGGTAAATTATTGCCACTGTTTTACAGAAGAGAAAAATGAGAATGAGCACGAGGGATTTCTATACAATCATTAAAAGTACACAATCATTAAAGAGATGGATGTAGAAATTAAATCTCAGTTCTGTCTGATTCCAGAGCTCCAATAACTTATTGTTTCTTCTGTCTATAAAATATTTACAACTCACAGTTCTGTTCTAGTTTTACCTTATGTGTATTTTCTTCCTTAAAATACCACGTTAACCTCACTTATGCACTAGGTGGATATGTCTATCTTACAATATAAAAACAGAGATGAAGAATTGATGAGTTCAGTTGTTTAGAGAAATCTTTTTCTTTACTTTTTTAAAATAGTACATACTTGGGGAAATTATTGTAATATAGACAGGTTTGGGGATCAAATAAAACATTTCAATTTTTATGACTGGAAACCTACCAGTGATGAAGTAAGGGAGACTGACACATTTTGCGATATTCCTAGTTACAACTAAACTTGGAGAAAACGGGGGTATCTGAACGTTTGGCCTGTCTGTGTTGTGCCATTCTTCACACAGGAGGACTGAGACTGTGCTTCATCAAGTACTAAGATTATACCCCAAGCCTGGATCTAGGTAATGACCAAATAGTTGGTCATCTCATTCAAACAACAATTTGGCTCTGTTAAGAATGGAAAGAAAACCAGGCAGATTAATTGTGTGGCTGAAATGTTGAAAACAACTCCGACGAGTTGTTTTGGGGGCTCTTTGTCACGTTGTACCAGAAGTTCAATTAATTTTCCACATTCTCTAGCAGGTGATTATATGAGAGTTTACAAGAGAGTGAAATGAATTTCTGGGAAGTTAGCGAACGACCTATGTAATTAGTATGTTATGTGAATATTCATTGAATTCTAGAAAGTAACTCTGGGGGGATGAAAGGGGCTATGGGAGGAAGAGAGGAAGTCAAGAAGGCTTGTCTGCAGGGATGTCAGGATTTCTCTAGATATTTTTTCAAAGTGCACATATATCTCTCCTCTCCTCCACCCTACTCTTACTGCGCCCCCTGCCAACACACACACACGTCAAGTGTTACTATTAGCATTACCACCAAATTATTACATGCCTCTGGGTTTTGAAAGTGTGAGGAGGGATGAGAATCAATGATGTAGACAGACATAATGGCAGAGTAGCGTTGGTGGGGAGGGGGAAGCTTGCCAGGTCAGGCAGAGGGGGACTCTCACCCATAGGAACTGGAGCAGGTTACTTGAGCATCTTGCCTTTACTTTCGTTAGCTAAAGGGTGAAAAGTTGGAACTCAGTGAATCGTAATGGCCATTCCATTTCCACTATCTTCTATTACTCTGTCCTTTAGAATGGATCCAAGACACAGAAGTCTGCAATTTTAGTACAATTCAGCAAGCTCAGGTAAGAAATAGCTATATCCAAGCTATATTTTAGTTTTATATTTGAACATTTCCTGAAGAAATGTCATTTCTCCTGTCCCTTCCTTAATTCTACCTCATCTTGTTCTATTCCCTAAACTCTTGAATTAAAAAGTATTTTACTTCAAATAGCATAGTTTAGACTTCATTCTTTATTGTCATGTTAGTCATACTCTAGGAGTCACTGACATATTTTTTCTTATTTTTGAACGTATGCTTTTGAAAGTTTTAGTCTATTTGCTGCCAAGAATTATTATTTATTATTTTGTCCCTGAAATTAACTGCAGTTTTGGTTTGTTTGTATTCGATGACAATTTTTTTTTCTCCTAAGCAACATTCATTCCTAAGCACTACAAAGCTGGAGGCATTTGATATGTATTCTAGGCAGAGATCCAGCCTTAGTGAAAATAATAGAGTACTTCCAACTAGTTCAACTAGCGTTAGGAAGAGTACTATTATGGCGTAAGTAGTGGTCAGCACATTAAGAGAAATGTTTTATTCTGGCAGTGTCAAAACTCTCATAACCTTGGGAATAGTTTTATTATTTGATTCAAATTAATGCTGCATTTACTTATCCAAAGTAATGAGTGATAAATTTAAAATCATGATCAAATAAAATTCCTTCCTGCAGACCCATTGCCATAATGTAGGAACGCAGCAGAGCTCCTGGGTTAAGATTTCAAATGGATGTCTCAGTGAGGCTTATTGTCCAATGAACTACAATGTGCAGGCACGGTACCATGCAAATAGATTTTCATTCCCGGCAGTGACTGCTGCTTTAAAAGAAAGAAAGAATTTGCAGGGAAGTACGCACATGCTGAGCAAAATAACCTGCCTACAGACGGCCCACTAGGCTCAAAAAGCAGCTGGGAAGTGAGCACAGAAAAAGGGCATAACCTGATTTTGGTCGTTTCATATTCAGGGCAGGTCCGCCCTTCAGACTTTCCTTGAATCCTATTGTATTTCGGCCCGAGGATTCTCCTCACGTCTCCTTCCGCTATTCTCCGCGCGCGCACAGAGCTGCTGGAGGAGCCAACGTCCCAGTCTTGTGATGGCAGCTCGCCCTTAGAACACTGGGAGAAATGAGAGAATACAATCATAGAATCTTAGTCTTTGCAGAAACCTCTGAGAGACTCTATTCTATTCATCCACCCAAAGGAGGAATTCATACTCAAATATCCCTGACAAATGACCGTAAGTCTCCACTTGATACTTTCTGTCACAGATAGATAATTACTTGATTATTGGAAATCTCTAAACGTTAGTCAGTTCTTCCTGATTTTACCCCAAATATGTCTGCCAAGTCATCCTGTTGGTTGTGTTTCTACTGTCTAGGGCAAACCACAACCTTTTCATGACTATGTTTAAACAGTTGAAGCATACAAACGTGACCCTATTTACTTTGTTTTGAGCTATATGTTAACTCTTTTCTTTTAACTATGTTTTCTCATAAAACCTCATGTTCAGATCTCTCAATTGGATAATCAATTTACATGTGGTGCTGTGAGATGCTAACTCCCAGATATTTGAGACTATACTGTAAAAATCAAAAGAGAAAGAACAAAATCCTCACTGATCTCTAACATTTCAACTACAAGGTAGTCTGTTTTATGGTTATTAGCATACTACATGATGCCATCTTTTCAACTTATCTTCACCCATTGCAAGAACAGACTATTGGTTAGGCTGCTTTCATTGACAATCAAATGTTGTTTTAGGTGCCTTGAGGTGTCTACCATACTGAGAACTATAAAATAAATAAATGTATCCATAAAGCCAAATAGAACCAATTTGGGAATCTTACCTTCAAGCTTATCCTAATTTAAAATCTCTTTTAAGGTAATGCTTATGTAAGATCAATGATATATGTGATAGTTTTGAGCCAAATGGAACTCCTATGCTACTTCCCTATTACAAAGGAAATACTGATTTTAGTAGATGCAAAAACTCTAAACAGTTAAATTGATGTACTTTATTTCTATCAAAATTCTTATCAAAATGAATTGATGTATTTTATTCCTATCAGAACACTTTATTCTTATCACAATAACAAAGTATGTATATATTTTGTGAGAAAGATTGCCCCTGAGCTAACATCTGTTGCCAATCTTCCTCTTTTTGCTTGAGGAAGATTGCTGCTAAGCTAACATCTGTGCCAAACTTCCTCTATTTTATGTGAGATGCTGCCACAGCATGGCTTGATGAGTGGTGCTAGGTCCACACCCAGGATCTGAACCTGCTAACCCCGCGCCACCAAAGTGGAGTGCACAGACTTAACCACTACACCATGGGGTCAGCCCCAACAAAATATATTTTAAGAACAAAATATAATATCCAAGCAGACGCAAGTTCATATAGAAGCACTGCCACTTTCTAATTATGTAACCTTGGAAATTTTATTTCAGCTTTCCTGCCTTAGTTTTCTCATGTGTAAAATGACTGTGATAACGACACATATCTCACTATGTTTTTGTGAGGTTCCAATATAAAGCACTTAGTCTAGTGTATGGTAAATAGTAAGCTTAACTCAATATGTTCTAAATATTTTGGAGAGTTGATAATGTGAAGATGATGATGATCATGATGAAACTGAGGGTGGTACCTGTGATAATTGTGCTGACATTGGTATGTCTAATTAATACAAGATCAGGAGTAGCAGAATTGAAAAAAAAAAGCAATTGGAATCAGATGACATTCTTTAGACTAGGGGCAGTGACAGAGAGAGAGAGAGAGAGATCAGTCAGAACGATCAACAGCGTGAATTATATTTCATTTCCATGCCAGGAGGAGTAGATTATTGATTTAAGTTGAAAGGTGTCTAGGGCCAGGGTGAAGCTCCACAATGACCAGTTAAACACAGTGAAATAACTGCATGCGTTCACCCTGCTATGACATCAGAGGAAGTAAAATGAAACAAAGTAACCTCCTCATCCAAAACAAACAACAAACAGGAAACAAACGAAGACAGGAAATGGCAATGGACAAGACATCAAATATTTGTTTAGAAAGTAAACAAAGGAATAGTATCAGTCTATGCAAATAAAAAAATCATTCAGCTGCCTATCGGATTAGGTGGGCAATTGTAGACTCAGAAAAGTCTTGGGTACCAGGCACCACAGAAGATAGTGTTGAAATGATAACAGAGGAGGTGTTTAAAAGTTAATACATAAGGATGCTAGATCCCACTTTCCCTCACAATCCCATAGACACAGGTTGCTACAGAGAAGGGAGATTTAATTTCTTGTGTAAATGATTCTTTATGGTCTCAAAATGGAGCTGTGGGGTGACAAATGACTAGGAAGAGAAGGATCAAGTTAAATACTTATGCATGACGAAGATATTGAGAGTTAATAAGAGCAATAAAACTTAGTAAAAGGTATAGAGAAACCAAGAAAATAAAGATTAAGGATATATTAATTAAAGGTCAACTCTAGAAATAGGAGAGCTGCCAATGAGTATAGGGCAGATTTTTAACACTTAATCTGTTTGTGGACCTTTTTCTGCCTGATTTTTAGATAAAAGATTAACTTGTCCAGGTCTGGATATCTTTCCTTCCCACTGGGTTTACATGATGCTAGAGGTACAGATACTGTCTTCCAAACATGTAACATACTGGGGCAATTAACGAAATGATTTTGCATTGTTCTTATTCATGCTGCTACTTGGATTACGGTTTTTAAAAAATATCATTTGAGTTATTTAGTTTTCCTCAATAAAATGATGCTGTGAAGAAAAAAGTACAACTCCTTTTAAGAACTAATGCTAAGCAATTTCTGAGTTAATGTATGATATTATGTAAGAATTGCAGGGACCAATTTTATCCCTTGGAACATCATTTGTTTCACAAAATGAAAGAGAATGTGCATGGGCCAAAATTCAGTTTCTCTCCATGGCTCCTTAGCGGTGATTAAGTTCTCAGTGATCTCAGTAGTGTTCCTTTTAAATCACACAGACTGGTTGATGTCAATTACCTTGAACCAAAGTGTTAAAAAACAAAAAACAACAAAAGTTTTAAAAACTCTTCCTTTATTTTTGTCTCTACTTGTCAGAAGTCTAGCCTAGGCATATGAATATCCATTGTAAGATAGCATGTTACTAAATTTCAGGAAGCAAACAGACAGACACACATACTGTTGATGCCAGAACTGGATACATATTTGTGGCACCCAGTGAAAAATGAAAATCTGAGTCTCTTAATTAAAAAGGCAATAGTGGGGCCAACTCGGTGGTGTGCTAGTTAAGTTCATGCACTCCACTTTGGTGGTCTGGGGTCTGCAGGTTCGGATCCTGAGCATGGACCTAGCGCCAGTAGTCAAGCCATGCTGTGGCAGCACCCCACATAAAATAGAAGAAGATTGGTCCACACTCACCCATGTTAGCTCAGTGACAATCTTCCTCAAGCAAGAACAGGAAGATTGTCAGCTCAGGGCCAACCTTCCTAACACACACACAAAAAGACAAGAGCGAGTCTTCAGCCAAGCAGAAGCCCCCTCCAGGCACAGGGCCCTGTGGAACAACAGAGGTCACATGCCTGTGAAGCCAGCCATGTTTAATGCAACTTTTTCTCTTGTTCTTCTGCAAATCCTGTCCTTTCCTTCACTTTCACAATATTTTAACTGGAAAATACTTTAAATTTTCCTCTTAAAGCCGAATTTCCTCTGGTTGGTAAATTAACTGATAAGGACATTGAGAAATGGGGTAATTCCATTTCTTTGGGACATTCCAAAGGCCTGAAATCACTAACCTCTCTACTCAAGGATAATTCTTACTGTCCCCCCCCAACCCCGTTAGTTTATGAGCAAAGCTTTCCTCACAGCTCCAAGAAAGTAAAAGTGGAATATCTCATTTACTAAATAAAAACTATTATGCTAAACTAGTGCCAAATATGTAAATGTAAAACAAACTTGTATGCCCATAGGAAAATTGAAAGTGAAGGAGAAAGAGAGAGAAAGAGAAACTTCTGAATAGTCTGCTCTTTCTATTGTGGATTATTTTATTTCCTCCGGGTTTCAATTAATAAGTTGAATCAGTGTGGATGCTACAGTTATTTTATTTTTAATGTATTATTCAAAGTAATTATATGCCAAATGAAGATGGAGAGTGTATATTAAAATTATGTTTGATATGGGAACACTTTATTATTTTAAAATTAAAAACACACTGATCATTAGATTAAAATGTTATGAAATCATTTTTCAAGAAATCTTAAGGTTTTCAGTAACTCCAAAAATCATTTGATGATCAATAGGTTTGCTAATATTGGATTTCCTTATCCTTTTGTATGCTTGTTGATAACCAATTTGTATTTAGATGGGATAATTCTATTAAATCTAAATTTGTTATGGCCACACATTTTACTTAATATTTAAAAAATATACTGGTGAATTATGGCTCTAAGATGTAACTAACATAGATTTAAGCCATAATGTATTTACATATAGAGAAAAATAGATCATGCAAAGGGTATTGTAATAGGACTATTAACAATGAAATAGTAGGTAGCATAATAAAAATATCACAGTTTATTTCTTCTCATATAAATTAAGGAAAGTAGTAAAGCATTTGCATTTCAGATGGCAGTTCTGTACCACAAAGCTGTTGGAGAACAGGGTTCTTTTCAGCACACTGTGCTACTAGCTCCAGCATGTCATCTTCACCTTCGTATTCCAAGATGGTAGCAGATGCATTCCAGATAGCAGGATCAAGGTAGTGATGAAGAAAAAATAGACTTGGCAGCTCTCTCTCTCTCTCTCTTTTTTTTTTTTTGGTGAGGAAGATTGTCCCTGAGTTAACATCTGTGCCAATCATCTTCTAGTTTGTAAATGGGACACCACCACAGCATGATTTGATGAGCTATGTGTAGGTCCACGCCCGGGATCTGGACCCATGAACCCTAGGCTGTCAAAGCAGAGCTCACGAACTTAACCACTACGCTACCGGGCTGGCCCTCAGGCAGCTCTCTTTTAAAGAAGGTTTCTGAGAGCCACCTCAGGATCCTCCCAGTTCCATTTAATGGGTCAGAAGTTATTCACAAGGCTGCCTCAAACTCAATGGAGGTTTGGAAATGGTGTCTTTGTTCTGAGCAGCCAGGCACTAGACAAAACATCCTATTATTGTAGAAGAAAGGTTGGAGAGATATTCGGAACAACTTGTATTTTTCTGTCACAGCAGCTTTCTAGGAGCCCAGCTGTTTTCTAGACACAGGAATATTTGGGGGGATTCTGCTGTAGTACGCTATCAGAATTCAGAGGAGAATTTGGCAAAGGTTTAAGCAAAAGGATTTTGGAGGAATCCAAAGGTTGGGAGGATAGTTTCTGGAAAGAGCTGTGTGCTTTTAAGAAGGTAGGCTCAGAGTTTATATGGACAATGCTAACCTAGACTTAGGACAGTTATTAATAGAAGCTTGGTACAGAACAATACATCTCCCTGAGAAGGCTCAATCTACTTCAAATATAGTTATCCTGTTATCCCCCCAATAACATATTTGGTATTGATGAGGTACTACACTTCACTTACAACATGACCGCAGGAAGTGGATTGGGTTTAGGACACGATACCACCGACAGTGGAGCATGTTGAGCCAAGCAGAGAAACCTAGACTAAAGCATGGTTACCAGCCTGATCTAGTATTATAAGATGCATGGAAGACTGTGCCTCCTTGGAATTAAAGAATATCATCCAAGACTGAAAATACACTCATCCTAGAGTTGTTATGTTATCACTAGTTTTTGGGAGTGAATGAATAAATTGTTAAATGGATGAGTTAAGCACAAATAAATACATGCATATACACATACATACATACATACATTTTTAGTTAGAAGATCAAAAAAAAAAAAAAACCTGACAGCAGGTCCATTTATTTTTCTTCCACAACCATTAAAAAATAGAAATTAAGGGGCTTACCTGCTGGCACAGCCATTGAGTTCACATGTTCTGCTTCCATAGCCAGGGGTTCACTGGTTCAGATTCCAGATGAGGACCTATGCACTGCTTATCAAGCCATGCAGTGGCAGGCATCCTACATATCAAGTAGAGGAAGATGGGCACAGATCTTAGCTTAGGGCCAGTCTTCCTTAGCAAAAAGAGGAGGATTGGAGGCTGATCTCAACTCAGGGCTAATCTTCCTCAAAAAAAAAAAAGAAGAAGAAGAAAATAGAAATTAATACAGAATTTCCAATCTGTTGCTGCTTGTATTATTTGAGAAGAAGCTAATTTGTGAAAATAGATCTCATGGCATTACCTCATAATGTTTTGCTTTATTCCTGTGATCCAGCAACTAAATGTTCAAAGAAGGGTAAATGTGGATATGAACAGAGATGTAATAAGGAATGTTCAGTCTTCACCTTACATGACCTTCTTGCAATGTCTCAGATGTGTAAATTCTATGAAATTATGAAACTATTACCTCTTCCATCCTGCAACCCTTTCCGTTCTTGGTTTCCATAATGCTGTCAACTTCTTCTATATTACCCATAGAAACATCACATTCCTTACACATAAAACTAAGCTTACATTTTGTTCAAATTTGTATTTTTTCCCATTTACCAACTATCTCAATCCAGAAACCTGAGGCTCATTCTTAGCTCGTTTTTCTCCTTCATTTCTCATAGCTAATTAGACTCTAATTCCTCTTGTTTCTACCACGTCAGTGTGTCTTGTTTATTCTTGTTTCTTTCACTTCTCACAACTTCAACACAGTGTTCTGTTAATTCTTTACTTACTGTAGCACAAAAGCCATATAGCTGGCGTCTTTACTTTTTTCAAAAACCTACCTACCTTCACATTCATTTGATGTTTTTCATGGTTCCAAGAGAGATCTTTCTAAAATGTGAACTTGATTTTGTACTTTCTCTTTAGATCCCTCACTGATCTTCATTCCCTCTAGGATTAATTCCCCAAGACTTTGCCTAAATTACCAAGGGTATCAATGATTAGATTTTCTTATAATATCAGCTTTATGGTTACCATTGATCAGCATCAAAAGCTACCTCTAATCATAGAGAATTAGAGTGGCTGAAGTTAAGGGATCAAAGGCAGCTGTAAAAGTCTGGTTAGGGGAACAGTTACTTGGAACTTCAGGGATGAGCTCATACAAATATTAGTCACTAGTCATGGTGGTAACAGAGAAGGATTGGGCCAAAATGTGGTAAGGATCATGGGTCAGTAACTATGGTTCAGAATATTTCCTGGTGTTCTATCTCGCCTTTGTAAGCCTGCTAGGACTTGTTTTGTGGTAGAATCCCCAAGACTCCACGTGCCAGGAACAAGCAGACAGAGTGGCATGAGGTTAGAATTATCCAGAAAGGCAATGTCCAATTGGTAGTTCAGGCATCTTGTTATAACATACTTCTATCATATCGCATTCAAAAGGAGATTCTATTGCAAGTTTATCCATCTGGATTTCCAGCATAATAGAAGAAAATTAAAACTATTTAAATCCAGGAAAGAAAAGGCAGAAGAGGAGGCCAGAAAGATGATGACATTGTTCATCAAACCGGAGTTTTTAGAAAGATAAAAATTAAGAAAATTAATGTCAGGAGATGTAAAAAATAAAACAAAGTTTTATCTATTGAAAGATTATTTAAAAACAGTATCCTCAAATAATAACTCTAAGCTCTGGCTTCCTCCCTATGTCTAATCTATGATCTGCTGTAGCATTTGAGTCAATTCTTAATAGAATCAAAATATCACAACACATCTAAATAACTTTTTCTGGTTAAGCCAACCAGAAAGTCAAAGACAAGATTCACACTCCTATCTGCTTTAAACTCATTTCTTTCCTTTTCCAAATATATCATCATCTTTAATAACTTTCAGAGAGTTAGAGAATTGAGTATCAACTATTCCAGCACTCTGCTTTAATGTATATGAAATATTACATTTCTATTTTCCAGGTGAGGAAATGAGAGATAATGAGTGTTAGAGACTTATCCAAAGTCATAGACTAACATGTAATAGTTACAGAATTACTGGAGGCAGCAACACAAAGGAAATTATTCTTTTTTCCTCCCTCTTCTTTTCATCCTCTCCTCCTTTTAACCTTTATTATTTCTTTATACAAAGCTTTATGCCAAAAATTACTTGAACAGCCCAAGGATGACACCTTACACATCCTCTGTCAGTCCAGTTATTCCAGTCTCACACTTCAAACTTTTGTGCAGCTTGCTGACTTTGGAGATCTGCCTTCCCACCAGCAACTTCTGCATCTCTAAACCTTGGTCTGCTTCCATGAGATTTCTCCTTCCCCACTGCACTCACATAGGAATCACAGCTCACCTTACTCTGAGCTCTGAGGGTGTATATGTGACTATACTTTATGTGATAAAGATAATACGATCTCATGTGTTAGATGCTAATAAACTATTACTGTGCTTTGGGATAGTGGATTTGCATATCAACAAGGTCCACTAAGATAATGACATTAAAACAAAAGAAACCAAAAGAGAGGAAGTCAGAGTACTTTCTATGTCATTCCATGATAGGAAAAACTTTCCAGATGCAAATAATCTCCCTCTCCAAAAATAAGTCAAAATAAATAAAAAGTAACACAGTAAGTAAACTTTTAAGCAAAGAATGGCTTTGCCAGGAATTCCTTTTACTCCATTTTTCATCCATTTCCCCATAGTTTAATTCTGTACTTGTCCTACTTCGTTCTCCCCAGCTCCATTTTTTTCTGAATCATTGCCTCTGAGTCTCGTTATTTATTCATTTATTTATTTATTCAAGCATTGACAATTCTGAGACTTTCCTGGCTCAGCAATCTACAGATCATTCATCAGCATGTAAATGTCTTCCCAGCAGTAACCTTGGCATTCCCAGAACAACATACTCTCCTTCTTATCCCTGGTCCATCAGGTCAGTGTCTGTGTTACAGATCAATTCTAAATCTAGGGAGAAACTTGATTATTTTAAAGGTTACATAATCTTTCTGGGCTACACTTTTGTAAATGTTCTTGTATTCTTAGGAAAATGAAATTAAACTTTGAGCAAAAATTTAAGAAATCAGCAGGTGGTAGTAAGCCATTCTTTATTATTTACTGGAAGACGAGGTTTACTGCTCAATTTAGATCTGTTTTGTTTTTCCTGAAAGATAATGCTTGTAGAGGAGTGGTCAGGAGATGATGAAATTGCAAGTGGAGTTGCAAACAGAAAAAGCTTTAGCCTTGTGATTTCAGCCCTCGAGTTGTGATGCATAATAGAGTCCCCTTTGTTCATATTATTCCCTCAGATTGGAAGGTTTTTTCCTTTCTTATGAATTCCTTAGCTTTACACCTCAGAGAAGCCTCCCAAGATCTCTTAAACACTGGGCTGAAACAACGCTGTCTGTGGGCACGGGAAGCCCCAGTTTTGAACCTCATTCTAAATATTAACTGCATGACCTTGGCAGGTTTATATTATCTGACCTGCATTTTCATAAAATGTCTAATGTAAACAATATTTCTCTTGCAGGGCCATTTAAAAAATTGCAAACTCTAGACTTAAAGTATTCAGCACATAGGAGAGACTCAGTAAGTGGTACACTTCTTACTATTTAGTTTTCCCACTTCATAGTTATCTTCCTAATTTACAGTAATTAAGGTATTTAGCCCCTTTGTAGATCCTTTTGCTCTCATGTTTGTTTAGAAATAGAGGAGGAGAGAAGGATTAATGTGCTAATAATACTTGGGATGTGCAAGCCCAGAGCTGTGAAAGTGAGGGGAAAAAGAGAAGTGAAGCACCAGATCACGTGATGTACTGCAGGTAATTCCTTACAGTCCTGGACACCACTTCACAGTGAGCAGCAATGAGATACAGCAGGTGTAGCAACATGCAGGACATAGAACTGGTTGCGAGAAGTCTTGCTTAAAGTAGTCCTCTACAGTAGGGGAGATTTATGTGCCTGATCCTTCCTGCCTCCTTTTCTCATTGGTCGAGGTTCACCACATGGGGAGACAACACCTCCCATTTCTGAGAGGGATTATCTGATTCTTTGATGGACACTCTGGAAGTGGGGTCCCACATCCCCATGGTATATTGTTACATGCAAACCTGAAAGACGAGGGTTAACTTACTGAAGGTGGATACCAACAAAGCAAGAAAATGGGAAATGGTTGGAATCTGAAAAGGCACATCAGGTTTATATGGCAATGCAGCATTTTTCCTATAACTCTGGGCAAGATGAAAACAAATACTTTACTCTATTTTTTTCTAGATCTGGTACTTGGTATAGTCCCTGCTTGCAAGATAAATAAATGAAAGAATCAAAGAATACACACGTAAGCAATATCAAGGTACCAAAATAAACAGTCTATTACTTCATTCTATGGAAGACATAGTAAAACAAGTACTCAATGAAGGATATGCACAGCATCAGCTGATTGAGTTAAATTGCTGCCTCAAATTATTATTATATTTTTTTACCTGTTAATTGCAGTGAGTGAATCACTTATTTACTATAGGCATTACCAAAATCACAGAGAAGAAAGAATCAAGACAAGGTAATCTAGTGTAATATTGATACATCTGTTGCACTTTGCATCTTCAAAAAAGACTGTCTCTCTTCCCTTTGCATGTCTTTCTCCACTTGTGACCTCCTAAAATGCTCTTAGAACTTTTTGCACCTTTCTTTTACATTTCACTGTTGCACTGTTTTAATCATAAAAGCCTAAAAAAGAGCCACAGTACTATATAAAACACATGTTCTTAAGGCCTGGGTATATTCCCTTCACTGTTTTCATGTTTATACAAATTTTTGTCTGTTTCATATTGTGTGTGCGCCAGAAGTCAATAGAAAACAATAACAATAACTTAATAAACAAAACAGCTCAAATATCACGCAGATTCATTTTTTTAACAAAAATACTTGTAGTTCTACAGTATAGCAGGGAAAACATCTAAATTAAAAGAAAGGGAGAAAAAACCTTAAGAACAATCTTTCAAGTGTTTTTCAGTACTCACTGGCACAGAGAAGTGGAGACTATATTTGCATAAGATATAGATTGACAGCTTAATTAAATGAAATATCTACTTCAGGAAAAATATATCAGTAGTCCTTGAGTCATGCATATGGATAGCAGCTTCCTTTGGAAAGATCTTTGCCTGGTTGGCAATTATGTGGCACATGAGCCTCCACTTGCCACGCACCCTATTCTGCCTCCCAGTCCCATATCCATAGCAAAGACTGATCATTGATCTAGGTTCTGTTTTTGAGCTTAGAAGTAATAATCTTAATGACTTTTTTTGATTCTGGTGGGTTAGTTCCCATTTTGCAGCCTCTCAAACAGAGATGGTACCCACCCTCAGATTTATGTTTTCTTTGTTGTTGGTCAGAGAGCTTTGAATAAGGATTTAAATAGCTTAGTGCAACATTTTAAAGTTCTGACTTTACTTACATATTATGTATCAAAAATGCCATCTTTGAGTATAGAAAAAAATACACAAACTCAATGTCATCTGCTACATGGCTAAATTTTCCAGAAGCAAAGTGTAGACCAGCATTTCCCAAACTGCAAAAATATGTTGTATTGATGTACAACTGAAATTTTACGTTTGTAACCTATCATTAACTCAATAACAGAAAAATATATATGTTGTACCATGCAATTTTATTAGTACTTTCTTTTAGAAAGTAGTATTTTTTTTAATGGTAAAATGAGTTTTGGTAATCTGCATATTCTTTCTCCCACTCATCTTTCCCACCACCACGCATACATTCATAGTACTTATGTGTAAATTAAAACCTCAGACAAGACCTGCTATAAAGGTATCTGTTTTGTGTTGTTTATTTCAGTGCTATCCAAACTTCTGCGTTCAGAGAAACCTTGAATCAGGGAATATCTATAAATAGAAACTGGGAGAGTAGTGTTCCACAAAACTCACTTTGAGAAACGCTAGGCTAGATGAAGTTACAACAGAGAAGTAGTAACTGGTTTTGACTATTCTTCAAGTCTTCTCTCAAACACTCTGCACCAAAGAAGCCAGCCCACATTTCTCATTTGTTTGTGTATCTGTAAAATGTTGAACTTCTATTAAAACTGTCATCAAAATATGCCCTGTCTAGAGTCATTCATGATACTTTTATAACACTTATCATTCAGCGTCAATTACTTTACATAGAATTTATCTGATTTTCATAACAATCTTTCAGGGTGGATATTAATATCCTATTTATAGATGATGACACTATAGTTCAAGCAGTTGAAAAAATGTCCCTTGGTTCATTTGAGTGATCTCACTTTCCCCCATTGTACAATGGTCCCTCCTTTCTGTGTATCCCTCCTTAAGTTGACTCTGAGATTCTAATGGGCAGAGGTTGTCTCAGACCAACATTTGATTTCAAGCCCCTCCCCACCATCTGCATGAATGGCCTTGATAATCCTCCAGACTTTCGTCTCTGCCTTTACATCTGTGTGTATATGTCTATGTTCGTATGTGTGTAAATTTGTTATAGACAAATTTAATGACTACTGGAAAACAACTGTTAGTAAAGAGGAAGTATTGAGAAAAGTTATCTGAAATGGTGAATTTTTTCATCCTAATAGGTTAACTTTTCATTTACCTACGCTGTGTGTACGTCACTGGAACAAGTCTCAAACGACCTGGAAATAGGAGAATAGAATATTCAGGAGTCACTCACATGCTGTGATCAGACATTTTGAATTATATTCTTGATTCTAATTCCTTCCTTTTTACTCTTTTTCTCTCTCTGTTTTTGGTCCTAAAAGTAGTCATAATTTAACCATGATGATGTCTAAAATGTAGACAACCAACCATGTTTGACACAATTTATTACTATGCTATGCACCTGGTAACAGAATTTCCATACTTCACACTAATATCGTACTCTGAAAACACCGAAGTCACCGTGTTAATGACAAATATGCAATTTTTTCAATTCAATATCCTAGTTTTGAAAACAGAGTGAAGTAGCTTAAATAGCACTGGATATATTCCCATCCTCCTCCAAGGTCCCGTTATTTCTCAGACTGCCTGATCCCTTCACATCCACACAGTGTGCTATTTGAAGCAAAATATTTTCTGTGAAGCCTTATCAAAAAATACCTGTTAAGGTGTTTAATCCAAGCTCTCTTGATTGAGGCTTTTGAATTTTAATTGAGGCCTTTTCAAGAGGTTTAATAATATAAATCATAAGCCTAATAGGCAAAGAACAGATAACTTTAAAGGCATTTACTTTCTGAGAATCTGTTACAAGATGGCGCATGAACTTATACTGCATTTATTGTTATTATCTGGAGAAACTGGCCATGAGATGAATTAGATCTCAGATGTAAGACTTTCATCTAGAGCTGTAGTCTGATGAAGAAGCGAAATGTTATTGAAGTGAGAACTTGAGTCCTAAGCCAATATATGTGCTGCCCAGCAGAAGTGGAAGAGAAGATTTTGACAAGAGGAATCCTATGGGCAGAAAAAATTAAATATTACAGCTGGGGAGGGAGGGAGGTAACAAGGGAAACAAGAATTTAGATTTCAAAGCTAACTTTGCTCACCTAAGATGACTTCTTAATGTTTTTGTTAAGGTTGTCACCACATTTAGTTACAAAGCATGCCCAGAGAGAATGACTTAAAGTGGATTAATATAAAATCAAATCCTAACTGTGAATGTACTGTATCCAGACGGATTGGCTGAGAGCCGAAATGGTAATATAAGTCTTCATTAGCAGAGTTGCATCAATGGAGTGAAGAAATGGGAAATAGTAACAAAGGGAATTATGAGAAGGTGGTGCCTGGAACATCTATATGACTGATTGATTTTTAAAAACATTTCATTTATATCTTAACTATTTAGAAAAGTGACAGCTTTTCCCTGCCACACATCAGTTTCAAAAGCTGGTGTTACACATAGAAAACAACTTCCCTTGAAGGGTGTCCTGAGATACACTGTCAACATTAGTGTAAGCTCTGAAAATAAGTCATTGAGTAGAAATCACTTGCTGTCTAAATTATTCCTTGCTGCTGAAATTGGGGTCTCACTAATGCCCACGTGAAAATATAGCTGTTATAACTATCAAGACCCAAAGAGAAGAATACTTCTATGGCAGAGACACTATTAAACCAATTGTCTAAACATCCAGATGACTTGGCCTCATGGTGCCCTTACACAAATAAGCCTGACGTGAAAAAATGAGTGACTGAGGTACATGTGCATTTTCCAAAAAGCCTTGTATCTTCAAGGTCTTTGTTGCTTTTTCACCAAAATGAGAATAGCAATATATAAAAAGCAATTTTTAGGAGGGAACATGCTATCAACACTTTATATTTGTAATGCTGGTTCATTTGTCCATCATTTTAAAATCTGTAACGTACCTTAGACATATCATATATCATTATGCTGAGAACAAAATGCAGTGAGGGAAAGAATTATGTTTATTTCAGGGTTTTTTTTGGAAATCTCTTACCTGTCGGTGGTGGATCACAGGTGGCAAAGGGTGGTGAAATTAGATGGGGCAGAGAAGGGCTGGGGTTTTTCTAACAAGGGAGCAGCTTAAGATTGAGTTCATTGGGTGGGCTGGCAGTATGTAACCATCAAAGCACCAGAAGTCTGAGTAGAGCATCTTTGAACCAGAATAATTGAATAAGCTAATATAATATTAAAACCAGGGAATGTACCTTCATCTTATGGGGAGAGTTGTCTCCTACTTTTGTGCAGATATGGTCTGGCATATGATGGAGTCACTTCAGGGGGAAGGGAAGAAATCCACAGGGAGCAGTGGACATGATTAAGGCCTCAGTCCTCTGAAAAGCCCTTATAATTCTAACACGAACCCTGAGAACATTTAACCCAAAAGTTCTGAATAAATAAGCTTAGGAAGACATACACATTCTGTCATTTATCTGTTATTAAAAACTTTGTTAAGCACTCTATACTCTTTAAACTGGCATGTGGGGCTCTAGACAGTTTGTCCCAAATTATGTTACTATCACACTAGATGATTCCAGGAGGGTCTAGCGACATTTATTCTAGGGGGTTCAAGTTACATTTAATTTATAATTATTTCTTGCATATGTCATACTCTTTCAAGGTTTTCCAGCTCTGACCAGGCTTTCCTTTTGCCTAAAATTACCTTACTCAGTCTCTCTTTGGCACAATCTTACATCATCTATATGGCGTCTTTAGAAGACTAAGCTTAAAATTTTCCTCTTCTGTGATGCTTGCATTGATTATTCTTTTCTATGTAGTCTCAAAAAACTTTGTCCCTACATTTTTTACAATTCTTATCCAACTTTGCTTTAAAAATCTTTTGTAAGGGCCAGCCCGGTGGAGCAGCGGTTTTTTTCACATATTCCGCTTCAGCAGCCTGGGGTTTGCCGGTTCAGATCCCGGGCACGGACATGGCACCGCTTGGCAAGTGCCATGCTATGGTAGGCGTCCCGTATATAAAGTAGTGGAAGCTGGGCACGGATGTTAGCTCAGGGTCAGTCTTCCTCAGCAAAAAAAGGAGGAGTGGCAGCAGATGTTAGCTCAGGGTTAATCTTCCTCAAAAAAAAAAAATCTTTTGTGTGTTTGTATGTGTGTCTCTTCTAATAAACATGTTTTATTGTAGGGTAAGGAACATTTCTTTTTTATCTTTGTGTCCTCAGAGCTCAGAAGTAAGCCTGATAGATAGTATATATTCAATAAATCTGTATTAAATAAATAGAAGAATACTCTAATCTCACTGCCAACCCTAATTTTGTATGAATATTTGAGGAATTCCCTCCCACTTTCTATATTGCATACTCCAGGAATATGAAAGGTCATTTTGTATAGTAGGAAGTCAAATGTATAGGCAGAAACACTGCATGAGTTCTGATGGAGAGATATTCATTATGAGCTAGGCAACTTTAAGAAAATCACAATCTTTCTAGTCTCAGAGGGAGTTGGACCTTTTAGGACCTTTCCAGCTCTAAGAATTTGCATTATTGAATATATGATCCACTTGATTTGGACCACCAGTTTTGGACCCACAAATAATAATTATCCTGTCAGTATATTAATGAATGCATATTTTGAATATCTTTTAGATAAACTCACGATGTATAAACTGCATAACTAAATACCATGGAAAGTTACTCTAGGTTGTGATTATGGAAAGAGATGTCATTGGGTAGGATAATTATCAGTTTCTGTTTGTTAGCAATAAAGTTTAAGTGATGCCCATCTGAAACAGAATAGATGGAAACTAGGCTATTAGTGTCAATGGGAATGCTAAATTATAAAAAAATAGGGAAAAAACTATGTATATGAAAGAACACACACCTACACATACAAACACACACACATCAATGACTTAGCTTATGTAACATGAGGAACAGAGTTCTCATTGACTAGCAGCCAGAAAACCTGAGTAATCCTACCATACGAAGTTAATTATACTCTGACTTAGCAAATAATTCCCTCTTGGGGCTACTTTTTCATGAACAGATGGAATGAGAGTGGTAGACCAAATTATCTTTAAACTTCCTTCCAGCCTACACATTTGGTTCATCCATGTTTTCTGAAATAAAAAAACAAAACAAAGTACAGATATGTGAATTCTTGGTTGCCTTATTAATGTATACCTTCTAGTAGATGGAAAGTGTGGTGACTTTCCTTAGCAGACGACAAATTGCAAGCTTTTCCCCTACTCTCACAATGTGCTTAATTCGCTAGTTCCAGTTGTTCCTAGCATTACTACAGGAAGAAACAAATGTCATTTTATCATACATTATTTGGCCTTGGGGAAATACGTTTTTGGGTTTTTCCCAGATCTGCAAAAAGTCATAATACTCTTGATAAGCGATCAATGTTGTTAAGGCAGACTGACTCTCCAAACTATGGAATTCAGTTACAAATAATCTAAACATTTCTCTCTCAAGTCCTCTAAACATACTTCATTATTTATAGCCATCTATCCTGCCATGCCAATGAAAAATAAAAATGCCAGACACTATAACAAATAACTGTGTTCATGATGTCCAAATTCAGATATTCACCAATATTGGAATGTTGAGTATGTTGCATAATCAATTTGAATAAAAAGATAGCATATTTAATT